CCCATGAGGTTAAGTGGGTGCGAGAATTCAAAGCTTGTTTGCCATTAAAGAAAAAGGCATCCTGGTTAGATCCAGTCCCGCTGGGAGCATCCCTCTGCTAGGGAGCGTGCATCTGGCAGAGCGTCTGTCCTGGAACACAGAGCTACCTGCTCTGAGGGCCCTCGACCTTTTATATTTTTCCTTTTTGGGTACCTTTTGTCTCTCCTCTTTGATGGAGATACCACCATCACTGGGTGTCGTTCACGCTGGGTGCAGAAGGCAGTTTCGGCTGGTCTCTGTGTAAAGGCTGGCCTAGGATGGGTCATGCTGCAGACAAGACTCTGCCCTGCGAGTCCAGCAGGCTGAAATCCACCAGTGAGGTCTCGGGAGAAAGCTGCTACAACAGGTAACACTCTTCTCATGGGGACTAACCGTCCAACTTCAATTTGCCTAAAAAACCCCTATGCTGTATCCCTCCCACATACACCCAGTGGCTGAACTCAGGATCTGAAATGATGCGTCTCATTTTGTTTAGGTTGGAAAAGACCTTTAAGATCATCAAGTCCAACCATTAGCCTAACACTACCAAGTCCACCAATCAACCAATTAAGGGTAGAGTAATAATTAATTTCATGTTTCCTGGCTTGGTGGCTGGATTATTTAATGAAAGCAAAAACTAGGAATCATTAAGATTGAAAAGGATCTCTAAGATCATCAGTCCAACCATCAACCCACCACCACCATGCCCACTAAACCATGTCTCGAAGTGCCACGTCTACCCGTTTTTTGAACACCTCCAGGGATGGTGACTCCACCACCTCTCTGGGCAGCCTGTTCCAATGCTTGACCACTCCTTCCATGAAGAAATTTTTCCTAATATACAACCTAAACCTCCCCTGGCACAGCTTGAGCCAATTTCCTCCGTCCTATCACTAACTTCTTGGGAGAAGAGACCAACACCCACCTCACTACAACCTCCTTTCAGGTAGTTGTAGAGAGCAATAAGGTCTCCCCTCAGCCTCCTCTTCTCCAGACTAAACAACCCCAGTTCCCTCAGCTGTTCCTCTTAAGACCTGTGCTCCAGACCCTTCACCAGCTTCGTTGCCCTTCTCTGGACACACTGCAGCATCCCAATGTCCTTCGTGCACAACCAAAATTGGACACAGGTGCAAGGTGCACCTCACCAGTGGCGAGTACAGGGGGACAATCACCTCCCTGCTCCTGCTGGCCACACTATTCCTGATACAAGCCAGGATGCTTGTGG